GGTTAAACATTGGAAGAGGCTGCCCAGGGAAGTGGTTGAGTCCCCATCCCTGGAGGTATTTAAAAGACGAGTAGATGAGGCACTTAGGGACATGGTTTAGTGGGTGGTGGTGTTGGGTCGACGGTTGGACTCGATGATCTTAGAGGTCTTTTCCAGCCTCAATGATTCTATGATTCTATGATTCTAAGCTAAGAGGAGCCAGAGGGTAGGTCAGGTATGGCAGAAAGAGGCCTTTCTCTGGGAAGCTGAAGGTGTCATGAATGGTCTGCTTCCCCCAGGACCAAAACACAAGCAGTAACTCAAAGAAGGCCAAAAGTGAGAGAAAAGAAGATGGTGAAGCAGATATGACACCTGCCTGACCAGCCAGCTCTCACCTGAATTTACTGCTGTGCACAGATCACCTGTCATGGGGGCCATCCCAAATCTCTGTTAAAACAGGGCTTAAAAACAAGGCAAAGGCTACCGCCGTCCCTTTAGACTCGGGTTACCAGAAAGCTGAAGGCAGGATCCTGCTTGACCGAGGCTTCATCTGCAGTCAGGGAAAAGAGGCAACTCCAGTAAGCCACCATGCTAAAGGTCCAAATTGCCTCTGGGAAGTGTCCCTGTCCCTCTGCTGACTTCAGAGGCTGAGCATCCAAACTAAATATTTCAGTTAAGCGCCTCATGAGTTCAAGCCAGCGGTGGGTGCCATACACGTCAGCAAGCTTAGCAACGAGCCGCCTTGCTCTGTTTATGGCAGGACTAAAATCCTGGCATGAACTATACTGACATAAATCACAAAAGCTCCCACTGACTTCAGTGAGTTCAGGATCGTACCACACAAGCAGCAGCGCATTTGTATGAAGTTCAGGATTTATCGTTTATTGCTCCAATATCACCAGTTTAGTTCAAACTGGGAGAGGCTGGGTTATATGAGGGGGAAGAACAGTTTCCAGAAAAAGGACCCATATTTCTCCTCCTCCTTGGCAGCTCTCTAACCACTTACAGCACTGATTAATCTCATCCTCCTCCTCCTCCTCTCCAGCTTGCAAAAGCCTGGTTTCCTTCCGCTTATCTGATCTCACATACCAGCCCAACATCAATTATGCATTTCTGATCTTACTAGCAGTGTTGTAGCTTTGAGGGTTTAGGGATGGAAGTGGGTTTGTGGGGAGAATATGATTTATTTGGCCAACTCATGCAATCGGAGGGAGGAAATCAAAAAAGACTGGCAAGTTTCAGGGTAAACAAGCAATCGTTTTTTTTCCTCCTCTTCCCCGCCTCTCAAACAAGGCTCCTTCTACCAGTTGCTCTGGTTGACGTGTCACCATCCCACACACAGAGTAAATACATCTCTCACCGTACGGTTGGGTGCCACTCTGTGGTTAACGTACTCCCTCCAAAAAGCATGCTTGGACTCCAGGTTGTTAGAAGGGTGCATTAAAAGATACAGTGAAAAATCTTTTCATGCCTGTGTGGGAGGTCTGCTAAGAAGAAACTGCCAGTTTAACACGTTCTCATCTCTGAGAGCTAATAATAGACAAAAACATCGCTACCACTGCAGAGATTACTACAAAACTACACTTTCTGTTTCACGAGGACTAGGCGGCTGGGCTCCGAACACAGTCGACAGAAGGATGGGAGGCAGGAACAGCCAGGGTCCTTACACTTGAAAAGAAAAATGCTCTATTCATACTTTGTGCCAAAAGATTGTATACTCAAATGAGCTGGGGGGCGGGGGGGGAAGAGTCATTTCAGGGAAGTGATTCAGCCGACAAGCCTAGAGAAAATCTCAAAATCTAAATAAAATTGTGATTCTTTTGTTTGGAAATATTTTTAAAGGTTTACTCAATTTTCACTTTTTAAAAAATTCAATAAATTCACTAAAACATCTAACCATGGACTTGAAACATTTAACTTGAAATATTTAACACTTATTTGGAATCATTTTGTTCAACCTAAAATTAAATGCTTGTCAGCTGTATTTTGTCTGGAAAAATATTTCAATTAATAAAAACCTAATCAGTGATTTGCATAGCTCAGCTGACTGCAGAGAGTCCGTCGCTGTCTCAGTCTTGTCACTCCCCTTGTGTCGCACTCGCCCTCCAGTCGCACCTAGGAAAGATGACCTACAAGTATTAAGAAAAGCGTCAGTATGTGCTGTCTGCCTTGAATACATCTAGCTTTGTATAACAAAAACACACTCCTCCTCTTTGATTTGCAAAGTACCTGGCAACCCAGGAAACCACCGGCCCGATGCAACTGCTATCCTCACGTCCTCCTGAAGATAAAGAACATTTTTCTTGCTTACACAGAGGTTGATTTGCCTGTGGCGAAGGTGTGTTACAGGCTGCGTTATAATCCGTCCTCTTCGAGCCTGCCCCGCTATCAGCGGCTAGGAGGGAGATCCATTCCCTGGGAGAAACGTACCACCCGAAAGAGTGACCTGCTAGCTATGGTTAGTGCTGTGCTAAAGCCACACGTCCTCTTGCTGAAACCGAATTTCACCTGTGCCTCTGGATATTTCCTTGTCAACAAAGTGTTCCCAGGTGCCAGCTGGATGCCTCATTTTGCATTCCTATTTTTTTTTCCTTCCTGTGGTTCCTGTGAGTTGGATGTTGACAGAGGCAGAATCGTTACTGTTGAACAAGCCTTTTCTGGCACCAATTCTTTTGGCAAGTACAGTATTTTCAGTAATTTCTGTTCAGAGGAGGAAAAAAAAAGCTTAAAGAGAGTAGAGTCCTAGTGAGTACTATTTTCTTCCCTTCATTTTTTTTTTGGCTTCCCTTGCTCAGCCCACATCATTCAGAGACCTAAGCAGTCGATGCATTAAAATAAAACACTTTTTCTAGATAACTGCATCAGGCACGCTCCGGTGTGTGGGTGCTCCAAGTCTCTGGAGGGCTGCAGCCAAATGGTTGTACCCCTCCTGAGGGAAGCAGCACACTCCACAGCCAAACCACCCACTGTTGCCCCATGCCAACCCCATCCCACCAGAAAAAGCTGAGACCGGCAGGGCTTCGCTCTTGAACAGTCTAAAAACGCCCTTGTCGAAAAAAGACATGGTCCTCCCACACCGTCACGTGGGCAGGACCCAATGGATGAGGGTCTATTGGTAGATCTTCACACGAAGTCAAAAAATGAGAACCTGTCTCTCTGATGACTTAGAGTTTTCCTCTAAGGAAGGATCCTGCAAACCCTGCCCAAGGCAACGCTTTCTGGTGTTCCCTTCTACACACACGTGGAAAACCAGGCTCCATTTCCCAATGCAGATGAGGATGTTGAAGAGCCAGGCAGGATCGCAGCTGAACACTCAGCAGGAAGATGCAGAGAGATCATTACTTTTGTCATCTATCCTTTATTTTTAATTCTGCCAGATAGCAGCTTTCATTACGTTGCAAATAGTTTTGGCCACAGTTCCACTACCTCTTATGTTTACTCAGTCAGACTGTTAAAAATTAATGAAGTGGATGCACTATTGGTTTCAAAAGGGCACTTTCCATAGCATCCCAACTCAAATACCACTCAGTACTGCTGGGGAAGCCTGTGGAGAGGTAATATAGTCAGTGTGTAACCCAGCCCTGTATTCTAGAGAACACAGAACGCCTTCTCTGCAGACACAGCGTACACAAACTAAGTTTAGAGAAAGGTTTTTAAGAGAGGCAGAAGACTTTTTTTTTTAAATTTTTTTCTTGTTTTAAACACAAAATCCCTCCCTAAAACTTTAAGCGTAAAAGGTCTCACGTTCAAGTATGTAACGCAAAGATCACCAGGGGATGGGAAGTCTCCCACTGATCCCGGTTAGGTACCAGTATTATTATTTCTTTTTCCCCTTTGTCTGCATTTT